TCACTGCAATATCGCAATCGTCTTGACCGAACGCCGAACCAGGCGAGTCTGTATAACACCGACTGTACGCAATAGTTGATATTTATTTTTGAATGATCACTCCATCATTTGCTTCAACTAGAAATTGGCATAATCCACTTTCCGATTTCCTATTTTTTTCTGTATGCTCTCCACTGGGGGCAATGTTTTCATAATTTCTTAAACACTTATTGTGTGGTTCGTCAGGGCAGTCCTTTTAGCCTTCAGTGAACAACAATGTTAATCTTTTATCAATACAATCATTTGATGTGTTGTCCCTTAGGTACCCTATTTTTCTCCAATGGTCGTATTTCCTCAGAAATTAAATAACATTGAGGAGACACTCAAAGAACACCTGTAAAAATTTCGTAACTCATCCGTGATCTGATACATTTCCACATTGACGATGAAGGAAATTAAGCGTATCGACTGGTCCTCTTGTGCGTATTAATTCCTAAGCAGCATCAACGGGAGACAAGTCTATTGTATCGTCAAAGTGTAAAGTGTTGCTACAAGATTGGGTTGGGCCGGATCTCAAACTCACCCTAATTGGGGAAGTGATAGAGGAAGTAACTAATTTTTGTGTGTGAAAGTTATGGAGGATTTGATTTAGTTTATATGAAGAATTCGTCGTGTGAATGAGACGTGGGTTGAAAAGCCGGGAAACAACGTACAACAAGTAGTCAGGTTGTGAAAGTTTCTGATCCAGTCATAACCCTGGAGACTAGTGCTGCGGTGAGCGAGACCCAAAGATGGTTAGTACTATATCGTGTATATTCCAAATGAGAAACGGTCTGATTATCTGCACTGTGGCCGAATGGGTGTAGTATGCTTGCGTTCTACCTGTGAGATCCTGGACTCGATCCCCAGTTGAGTCGATGCATTCGCACTGCTGATGCCACCCCACCAGGTCGAAACAGTTTAACAGTGCTTCCCGGCTTTCCAGCTCGCGCTTCATTCACACGAATTCTTCATATAAATAAATTTTATTATTTGGGCAGTATTATCTCACCTGACGAACAAACTGTCGGCACGCATACAAAAAGCTCGGTTGGCATTTGTCACTGAGACAACACTGGCGACGTCTAAACATCCTGACTGTCTTTGAAGGTGCGAGTATATGCTGCAGCAATTAGGCAGAAACTTAACCATTAAAGAAACAGCATAGAAATAGATTGTCGGTGTTCAAACATCGCTGTCTACGCCGCATTACAAGAGTCTGATGGGGTTACCGAACAAGCAATGCTGAGGTTAGGTGCAAATTTTTAGGTAACCGTGGTCGTCCATTGTGGCAAATGGTCGACCTCCATGGACTACGCTATTTGGGACATGTGCTGCGCATGTCACCAAATAGGTTACCACAGCGCGATGTTTGCTGAGACAGGTAGTAAATGAACAAAAGCCGAGTGATCAAAATTGGACTTGGAATGAGGGTCTGAAAACCCTAACCAGGAGACTCGATCACAGGTAGCGTTAAGCTCCCTGGTTGGGGATCTCGGTATGATTGTAATCAGTGGTTAAAGACACTGAGTGATGTAGCTGAGTGTCGCAAACAGTGGCGTTCGTGCATCTTCTCAGTATGTTTGCAACCTTAGTCCACTGAAATTCCCCTTTTTCTCTTCGAATCTACTTTCCTGTCGCTTCACCCAAATGGGCAACGAAAACCGGTGCATGGTTAATCGTTGTTCAAATAAACTGATCTGTCCCAACTGTCTATCATCATCCCTTCTAAAGTATGGTGCCCTTGCTCTGGTGTACGCCTTCACTTCTCTACCCAACACATCCTTCGCACGTATTCTCTTCCTGATTACTAGAGTAGTGTTACGATCATTCCTCTTCTCAAACTGTGCAGGTCCAGCATTCTGTCTAAACGTTTCCTTCCTATTGCACTATCATCATATCTTAAATTGGCAGAACGTGCCGTTCTCAAACTTTTGACTGCTTCTTTCAATGCCTCTCCAGTTTGCGTATAAATTTAACATTTCCACTTTGGATGTTGTCTCATCCCTAGTTCATTAAGTTATCAAATCGCTAGACGCATCCGCAAAATCTGTGAGATGTGTTTTCTTAGATTCTTCATAGGCCTTTGACTCTGTTCCGCGTTCCCTCCTTCTTCGTAAATTGGAATAATTTGGCTGTCCCCAGCACCTACTGGCGTGGCTTGTTGGCTACTTCACAAACGTAACTCAGCATACTCGGCTACGAAAATACCTGAACCGCCCATGAACGATTCGGAAGTGCTCCAAGGAGCGGTGTTTTATCCATTCTTGTTTTCCACTTACATCATTAGCTTGTCAGCAAGTTCACTAGCCCAATTATTCAAATACACTGACAACGTCGCCTTTTCGTCGAGTTATTTCTGTGCCTGTAGACCTGAATTTCTCCGGGAATCTAACACATATCCTCTTAATTTATCTAAGTGCTTGGAATAAATGTTTACCCTCTCACGATCCGTTTATCCCCGTGATCCTTCGGTCATAAATATAACATAACTAGTGTAGATTCTGTTAAGTATTTGGTCGTTGCCATTGGCACAAACTTGAAGTGGGCGTCCCATATTTATAAGTGTCCAAAGAAACTGGGGATCATCTTTTCAACTCCAAGGACTTAGACAGTTTAACACAAAGCGAAAAATAACTTCACTTTTTGTTTATCAATTTAGTTTCCCTATTCTTCTTTATTATTCCCAGGTATTTTTTGCTGGTCGAGTTCGGCAAGACTTAAAAATTCATCTTCACGGTTTGTCGATTATCAGCTGCGTTTTTTATACCTGTTGATGAATTATCAAAAGTATTATTACTGTTGTACCCATGCGAAACATTTTGCACATTAAATCCTCTCTGGCCCCACTCATCCTTTACATGGCTATGTATCTGAATGCTGCTGTTATTCACCAATGCATTCTGTATATCGTGTACCACTCTCTCTNNNNCTCTCTCTCTCTCATTGATCTCTACATGTATTCTTCAGTTCCCTATTTCGCTAGAATCCTTGCAAACCGGGTTTTTTTGAACTTCTCAGCTACCTTGGACGTCAAATTTTTTACTCATATTTATATCTTCTTTCAATGAGGTGATGTGGGATGTGTTATATGTGATGTGACTGAACTACGGGTATATGTCTATGCAAAAGTCTATAAGAATACAGATCCTCATCCAGATTCTTCCAAAAGATATATATCATAGTAAATGGTATATGAATGACTGAACAAAATTTCCCTGAATGTACACGACCAGTTTCGCGGTTCTTGCCGCTCTTCAGAAGAAAACACTCTAGTCACGTTAGTTGCGGTTAGTAGCATCTAACCCACCTACAAAACATCGAATCATGGTATCGATTCTTCGATGGACTGACTCTGAAAGAGCTATCTATCCAAAAATTACCCCGTGTTGCAAACAAGGTTATTGCGACGGAAATGCACTTCCTGAGTACAAGTATATGATTGAACAGATTACTGGATGCGCATGCCTGATGAGTGTCAAGAACCGCGAAACCGATCGTGTGCTTCCAGGGAAATTTCGTCTGGTCATTCATATACTACTTATTATGAAATATATATATGTATATATATTTGGGTGATGACTGTGAGGGAACTTTGCCGGAACTAACTAGAAACTGATTAGTATCGATCCTACGAGAGCTCTTATGGGTCTCATTCGTATTTCTGTTCATCCAGCACTTACTATTGATCTGGTGATCAGGATGTGCATATATGGAGGTGAATGAACTGGTGTCCAGTTTATCAATTCATTCGTATCTTAGCCTCCAATAGCCTTGGATGCCCTATCAAGCTCATGACCGCCGCCTATCTAACCTAACGGGGCCTTATGTGGTTCGCCACTC